CAGGGGCAAAAACCAAGCCTCCCCACAGTCTCCACTGGTGAGTCCCCAGACCGGAGACCCGTGCTTAGTGCGCAAGTCTGATGGGGTGAGCACACACACGCGTGTGTGTATGAGCAGCTGTGTTCGTGCAGTGGGTCACCGGGCTACCAGCGGTGAGAAGATAGCCAGTGGGTTCAACTGATGCCAAATGTTTGTTCTCTATTTTTAATATCTTCCAACTATTTTTAGCAAGTAATGTGTTGTCCTTCTGGGTGAAAAATCTTCAGGGATGTCACAAACAAGGTTGCATTGCTCAACTTTCATTTCTAATACCTCATGCATTAATTTATGTCAGTTCACATGTATTTTTTCCTAGTATCAAGATCTATTATGGATATAAACCTTAATGATATAAGACATTTACTTTGAATATAATTTTACTTCTAGCAATTGTATTTTCCATCAAACACCTAAAGGCTTAAAAGTAAATTTTTTTTCCTACTCTGATATATATTTGTCAATAGAGAAGCTTGTGAGGTTGTTACATTTGGGCATTTAATTTTAAAGAAAATGGTCATATTTCCTTATACAATTTCCCTCCTGTTTTTCAACCCATTAGAGGTATCACAGATGGTGATTCAAATACCCCACAGACTCACAGATTAAATGGAAATTATTGACATCAATCAGTATGAAGCCAAAGACATTTCAAAGGACACTGAATACCATTCAATACAACCAGATTAGATCTATCGGTGTTCAATGAGAAAATGTTTGGATTCAACCAGACCAAAACTGTGTTATTAAAATGTTTTTATTTTCTGTTTATTTTTTAAAAAGTTCTCCCTACATCCTTTTTTAATGTGTGACCATGTTTTTTGTTTGTTTGTTTGTTTTTGTTTGATTTTGTTGAAAGGCAGTTCAAAAGTAAGCAAAGCTTACTGATCGCATTAAATTCATCACTGTGGTGGCCTTTGGTGAGGGTGCTGTTAGGGGCAGTGAGGGGGTGACCTTGTTCTCTTATCAGTTGATCTTCATAAAAGAGTTATCAAGTGGACAAGGTGGGTGAGAAGGACCTCATTTTGGGGTGGGAGGAATTAGAAGGACCAGCAAGGAAGTCTGAAGAATGCAGGGAGCTGCATTGCCCAAAGGAGGAAATGAGGTGCCTTTCCCCCGAGCCCCGTCTACGTGAGAAGGACAGGGTTGGGAGAAGGGGAGGGAGAGGAAGTTGTCCGTGTGATTATTCCATCAGTCCCGTCTGCATCCTGAGGACCAGCAGAGCAGTAGCCTCCCATGGGTTGGCCAAGCCAATAGTTGCCCCAAAATGTCATTGATTATGAAAACATAGACAGAAACCAGCTTTCTTTCCCATCCACTCGCTGGCCCCAAAACAAACAATTAAAAAAGTAAAATAAAATAAACAGAAGAACCTCCTGGATAATCCAAAAGAGGTCACTGTTGCCAGACTTTGTTATGTAATCAATTTAAAAATCTTCCCCCAGGCTGTGACCACAAGCCCTCCCACACCTTTGGAGGGAGGGCCTGGGCTACTCTGGTTGACCCTGGTGCCCTGGCGACCGGAGCGTGAAAGAGTCATCCTTGCTTTTCTTCGTGCTAAAAATTAGACGTGAGCAGCCACAGGGGAGATGGGGGAAGAAAAATGGGAACTGGATTCCTCTGGGCTGGACGTGGTTACTGCTAGCGTGGTGACTTGCCAAGAGTGGGCTCGGACCAGCAGCATCAGCACATCCTGGGAGGTTATTGGAGACCCAGATTCTCTAACAGAGACCTACTGAATCAGAAAGTCTGGGGTAATTCTGATGCACAGTGAAGTTTGGGGACCTCGGTGGTAGGTCACAGTCTTGTAGCAGGAGGTGCCCTCACCGGCCACCCAGCAGGTGAGGGGTCAGCCTTGCTCATCAGCTCCCAGAGCCAACTCCTCCTGCCCTCTCCACCCACCTTCCTGTGCCTCCCACCCCAGGCACCTTGTGTCTGGCTGTCCATGGTGGCTCTCGGCAAAGGTGGCCACTGTCAGGCAGTCTCCAATCCCTTTGAGCACATTCACAACTTCCTGGAGGACCGAGAATCAACCCTGGCCTCAGGGGGACCATCCTTCACCTCCCTGAGTGCTCTTTGCTCATCTGCCAGTCGGGGATGCGGTGAGAACCACCTAGGGCAATGCACAAGCTTGGAGGGGCTGGCCCCTGTGCCGGCTGCCGATAAACAGTGGTTATCATCATCACAAGGACAAGAAGGGGCGGCTGAGAGGATTGTTCCTGGCAGGAAGCAATGGTGACCACAGGAGATGCATGAGAGAGGCCACACCGTGGTGGTCACTGAACACCAGGTGGTCTCTGGGGGGCCTTGCTGACGTGATGGGTCGGCACCATGAGGTCTGGGGAGGGGGCTGGGACTCTGCATTTCTAACAAGTCCCCAGTCGACACCCACGCTGCTACGCCACCCTTTGAGCAGCAAGGCGATGGATGGTTGGGCAGGTGAGCGCAGAGAAGTAATACTGGCAAACTCCCCACTCTGCGCTCGGGTTTGCCAAGTGCACACCTGTCCGTTCCTGCAGGGAGCCTGTAGCAGGGCGCCTCCCCCAGCCTGCGAGCCCTCCTCCAACTGGAGTCTGTGGGGCAGACAGGAACTTCGAGCCAAGCAAAATGAATCAAAAGCAAGAGTGAATCCCCAAGGCGCTGTTTGCCAGGGCTCCCCATCACCGCCCACACAGTGCCCACCTCGCACGTAAGGACACCCACCGAGTGTGCAGGGCCCTGAAAATGCCCCCCAGAGCCCCCTGAATGGATGTCACCTTTGTGCATTCAGAAGCAGAACCCAAATTCCTATTGTATCTCCCCCCCTTCCCTCCCTCCCTCCCTCCTTCTCTCCTTCTCTCTCTCAATTTCTGCAGCAACAATCCTGTGAACATTATCACTGGGGGCCAATTAAAGCAACAGCCAAGACATGTATTTTTGCCAAGAGAACTCCAAGGATGTGACACTGTTAATGCAGTGTTATTAACAGAACACTTCGGTCTGTTAAGAAACAATGCGGAAACTGTGTAGTATGTCAGTTCAGAAGAGATTTTCTGCCACGTGAGAAGGATGATAAGTAAAGATCCCTTCAGCCTCTTCATTTAAATCTTCCTTGTTTCTCCTCCTCAGCCGGAAGACATCGGACAAGCACCAATAGTAAACGCCCCAGAAGGTGGAAAGGTCGACTTGGAAGCCTTCAGCCATTTTACAAAAATCATCACACCAGCAATTACCAGAGTGGTGGATTTTGCCAAAAAGTTGCCTATGTTTTGTGAGGTGAGGAGATTGCTTTTCCTTCTTCGTTATTTTTCATTTTATACGTTCATCAATTTCCAGGAATACTGAGGACTATTTATAAGTCAATACTAATTAGGAGGGACTTAGTCATGTGAAGGCAAGGTCGGCACAAAACGCAAATGCGTGGTTGCGTGTGTATCTCCCCACCTTCTCTGTTCAGTCTTCGTTCGTTTAGCTTGTCCACGTGAGGTCGGTGAAGAGCCTAGCCACTGCCTGACTACAGGCACAGGAACACTTGACAGCCAAACCTCCATTCGTTCAGCATACTATGCTCAAGTCTGCCACCTTAAATCCAGTCCTTAGAACAACATAAGCAGGGTAGCTTTAATTAACCCCATTTTTAAAATGGGGAAAACTAAAATCAAAGAGAATAAGTTCACTTATTCAAGAGTGGGGCCGTGGTTTGAGTCTCAGTCTCCATTCTTTCCACAGCGTATCCCAGCAAGATGGCTGTGTGATTGTTCTTTACCCTCAAGAATGAGTGAAGTGACCCTCCCAGAGCAAGGATCTTAAAATCTACTTAACTCCTCTCTGTTTTCTTATAAGCGCACCCTTTCTTGTCCCATCTTCAGGGCACCCTGGAGAGCTCCCCCACCAGAGCTCAGAGTCTTCCCCTTGGGGACACGCCATCCCTAACTTTAGTCCTACCCTGCTGGGGCTGAGCGCACAGGTTCTGGGGTTGGCTGCATGGGCAGGATCCAGATGCCTTCAGACCTTGATTATCTCATCTTTAAAATGGGAGTCATAGCGGTATCTACCTCTTGGAGCTATTGAGAGGCTTCAGTGGGATCATATGTGGACAGTGCCTGGG